TGACATTATGGGCCTTATATTAAATCATTTATTTGTTTTCTTTTAGTTCCTTATCAGTTACTAATTATTTATTCTGATGTAGTGGTTTGCCTGCCCGTACTCTGCCTTGTGCCCTGTCCTGTTTTTCTTTGGGGTCCTCCTGGGCTCCTTGCCGCTGGCGCTTAATGCTGGGTCGGGTGGGGGCTGCGTTCATTGAACGCCGCCTTTCCTTGTCGATCTTGTTTATCATATTTCAGTATTTTGCTCCAATACCATTATAATTATATTGTATAAAAGCTCTCAGGCTTTCCTGACAGTTTAAAGGATTCCACTGAGATTTTGTTGTTTTGTTGTTATTTTCTTTATTTATTGTTTATTAATATTTTGTTTATTATTTGATTCGAAGGAACTAGACAATAACAACAAAGGCACATTTATTTTAAGTCACGTTACACGATAGTACAGTAAGACTAAATAAACAAAAGCATCAGAATGTCCATAAAACATGTAAAACATAGAAAAAGAAGGTAAATGATATAATAAACACTTTTAAACAAAATGGTAATTTTTATTAAGTATTTAGAGGGAAAGAGTGAGACAGCTAGAGGAAAGAAAAAAATGCGAAATAGTAAATATAAATGGCGCCTGCTTGATAACTGCTTGACTACGACCGCCTGTACGAGTTTCACATGTCATAGTAAAAATATGAATAAGCATTGAAATATTGTTAGATCTAGAATACTACAAATGTAGTATATTGCACAATTTCCCCCTGCTTCTAGTAAATTATATGAAATATGGGACAAGGTCAAGAGAAAAGCGCAAAATATGCAAAATATTTGTCGGTCATTGCAAGCGATATTTAAATACGTGTTATTAAAAGTTTTGTTTAAAATACACTGCATATCTAGAATTTGGATAACACTACATCTGTGGAAATTACAATATTTCTAACAGGTTTATACTTTAAATTGGCCAATATTATGACGAACAAATAACGATAGATATACTTTTAAGGATTTGCCAGTGAAAAAAACGTGATTTGATATTAATACCAAATGCAGGACCAATAGTTCCATAAAGAGGCTTTGCAATAAACAATACATATTTTTTAGAACGTATCGCAACAAGTGCAGAAACTATTGTGACTGAAACCTAGTTTAACTTCTTAGTCAATAAACTGTTTGTAATGTATGTTACCCAAGAACAAGTAGTCACAAAGCCTCTTTCCCATTTTTAAAGGACGTTCTTACTCGCCCATCCTTGATGAAATCATAATATTATATTGTAGCTGAAAAAGGGGTTCATTGCTACTATTTTGATATAAAACTAAGTTTGTTTTGATCAATTATTTGCCGAACGTTTTGTAGTTATCGAAAATCTATTTTCGACGAGTTTATTTGTAAAAAGATCTAGAAAGTTTTTATCTTAGGTGTTACAAAAGGGTAAAAAACCTGGTAATACAATAATTTATCATGAACAAACGTAGTATATTTTATTGATGACTTTATTGATTTATCGATATGCCCGCAGTGAAAATATATAAGTCGATATAAGATAAATACTGCTCTTCTGATTGAAAAACGTTTTATTTGTCAATACAGACCGGAACAATATAAATATGCTAATAATGTTTTCTTTTGTTTTAAATTAAGCCATTCAATTCGATAGGTTTTCTAAAAAACTAGTTTAACCGAACTTAAATGATTCAAATACAAATAGAAAATAATTTGATAAAAGTTTAAATAAAATTATAATTATACAAACATAACTATTGTCGGAAAACTTCAACACAAACAAATTTTAATTAATGCTATTATTACATTAAATCTTAAATCAATTGCATGTTATACATTCGAAAACAATCATCGTATTTTTAAAAAATAAAATGCATGCACACATGTTTTTTCCCTCTTGCGTTGCAACGCAAAACTACTTTATCTCAATGAAATATATGCTATTATTTAATTTTAGCCATGGCAAAACCATATTATGGTGCTATATAAGTCAAATATGTTTTATATTTGTAGAAAAATAAATATAAAATATAAATATGAAAGAGGGCGGAGTCAAAACTCATATTTATTTTAAGGGACTTCTTTCGCCATTTTGGTAAAAAAAAAATCTGATAAATAAAAAACAATTGTTTGTTGAGTTTTGTTTTGAAAACTATCTATAATGATAGAAAATAGTCGTACTAAGAAAATAAATCCGAACACCAATATCTTTAATTCAGTCATTAACGCTGAAGAGACGTTTAAAGTGTTGTTTACGTGACGTCACAATGTAGCGCTTAACATCGCGTACAAAACAAGATGCTTCCATAAATAATAAATATATTACTGCGCGCTGTATAACTGTAGATGCGTAGCATGCAAGGGGATTCGTAACAATTTTTTTGATAATGAAATTAAATAAAAAGGTTATTTTTTCGTTTTTCCCGGCTCGTGAATATATGTGGCATTTTATCATGTTTCGTGAAAATATATTCCATATTTCACTCAAACGAAAAAAAATCCTCTTAATAAACGAGTATTTGAAGTAACTATAACCTTGTGATTAACTTAAAGCGTACTGAAGCACATATACATATTCAACATTATTTTATATTTCAAGTCATAATAGTCTAGCTTAGCTACATATTTTCCCCCCTGAAAACATACTTAAGATTTCAGCGAATGCTAATTCCAGATATATATGTCCGTTCCAATCGTCGAATGCCGTCAATATTTATGCATATATTTATTTTTACTCAGTACGAACACGCGTTTATTCATAGAAATCACGTATTTCAATCACACACACACACACACACACACACACGCACGCACGCACGCACACACACACACAATTAAATAGATTTTTTTTAATGTTTCTAAAGATATAATGCTCGGATGTTTACTCATGAAAACTCTGTCATTTTTGTTTCGTCTATATTAGTCTATTATTTCTTTCACATTTTTTTTATAATAAATACAAATACAAATACATGACATTTATATAGCGCAAAAATGTATTAAATATTCGATTGCGCTGTACAATATTAAGACAATATACACATATGCTTGATCAAGACACTCACAAACCCAGTCTCGATGGCACAGCCAATCTACAAGTCTAGTTGAAAAACAGTCCAAAAAAGTATGTTTTAAGTTTGGCCTTGAACTGGTTTTCATTGGTAATGTCCTTCAGATAGTCTGGCAATGAATTCCACCATTTAGGTCCCACAATAGTCAAAGATCTATCAGCAAGTTTTGAATTTGTTGATGGTATATCAAACTGAGTGTGGCTAGATAATGAGGATCTCAGTCTTTTCCTGTACTGACTCTGGCATTTAGTGAACAATTCACGAAGATACAATGGAGCGGTGCCATTTGCAAACACGAAACACAGTCACAATAACTTTGTACATGATTCTTGCTCGAATTGGAAGCCAGTGGAGTGATTTAAGGATTTCAGAACTTGATTGATAGTAAGTAGCTCCAGTGACAATTCTAGCAGCATGATTCTGCACACGTTGTAATTTATCAAGTTGGTAGGCTGGAATATCCGCGAATAATCCATTGCAAGAGTCTAAATGTGAATGAATCAAACCGTGAACAAGGATTTCTGAGTGAGATGTTTTCTGATTGCTTTCAAATTTCTTAACTGCATGTGTGCAATCTGACACTTCTTTTGAATATGGATGTCAAAACTTAAAGTGCTTGTCATCTGTACTCCAAGGTATCTCACATTGTCAACACAGTTGACTTCGACCCTACAAACATTGACAGTAAAAATGTTTCTTCAGTCTTGTACCATAAATTATGATTTCTGTTTTGCTGTTGTTCATTTTTAACTTAAATCTTCTCATCCATGACACAATATCATTAAGACAGTCAGTAGGTTTTTGGCGAACGACTTCATTGCTGTGATGGTCATCAGCTCTAATTTTGAATGCCACTTTATGATCGTCTGCATATCCATACAATTTCCGCCGGATATTTCTGGACTATTTTGTTAAGGGCAGCTATAGAGAGAGAGTAATTATCACCGGTCCAGCACAAGAACCCTGGGGAACCCCGAACCTCAGTGGTTCAGTATCCGATGAGGACTGTTCAATGACAACTTTCATATCTCTGTTGGTTAAATAAGATTCGATCCACTTTAATGGAATACCCTGTATGGCAAAGTCTTTCTGTAGGATTTCAAGTGATATTGGTATATTGATAGTATCGAAGGCGGCGCTTAAATCAATCATTACAACTATTGTCACATGGCGGCTATCAGCTATTTCTAGCAGATCACTGTACATTTTCATCATAGCAGACTCAACACTGTGAAATTTACGGTATGCACTTTGGTAAGATGGTAACAAATTCTTGGACTCAATTTGGCTTGAAATTGCAGCTTTTTCAAGAATTCTCGACAAGAATGACAGGTTTGACATAGGCCGATAGTTTTTCAATTCTTAGGAAAGGCCTTTCTTTTTCAACAGAGGCTTGATAACAGCTTTTTTCCACGTCTCTGGAAAAACGCCAGAAGACAACGACCGATTCACGATTTCTGTCACAACAGGTGCAAGGAAATGAAGATTTTCTTTCAGCTTTGGTGTTGGCATAACGTCCAACTCACATGTTGTTGAATTTGATTCACTCACAAGTTTGATGATGTCTTTTTCATTTAATGGTATAAATTTATTCATGATATTTTCACTTGATGGTACCTCAGATGCCATAATATTATCAATCACTGAAGATGATGTTTCTGTGTTTATGTTATCCAGATCATCACGAAGTCTAAGGATTTTGTCACTAAAGTAGCGCAAGAAATCGTTTGCAAGTGCCGTCTCACTGGTGTGAGGTAGAAGTGGCTTATCCTTGGAACGCCCATACAAGTCTGAAGTCACAATAAAAGAGAATCAATGTTTCATATGGTTTCAAATATCTTTAATGTTAAGAAGACTGTTGCAAGCTGTGCAAGTTTAGTTATTTTATGAAATGTCCTAGTCGTTCCGGGAAGATTTTAGTAAACAATCAGAAATGATTCCAGCAAGTAAGTTACGACCCATGCATTCCATTAATGAGGCATTTGATGAGTTTTAAACATCATCTTCACTATACCGCACTGCTATTTGTACATTGCTGCCGAATTGTTCAGAAATTCAATTCACTTTACATTATTAGTTGATAATTTGGACTATTTTCTCTTGTCATCGTGAGAGGACTTTACAATAAAAAATTCAAATAAAACATATTGTATCCCATTTATACAATTATACAATTAACAAAGTCAAATCAATTAGCCTATTTACGTTTACAACGTTGCTACACACAGCAAAGCACAATAATTCTCTGTTTGTGCATTAAGAAGAACCAAAACGTGAACTCGCCTTTATATGAAATATAGATTTAGTAATATAATATGTTTATACATACATGTACTTATTTTCAGACAAACAATGGAATAATTATGAAGATACAATACTGTATAACACTGCTCACACTGCTAATTACGGAAAACAGTTGTGTTTTAGGTAACATTGCCTTCAAATAGCAAATGTAGCATAATGTAGCTGAAATGTATATTATTTTAATGAACACACGTTTCGTTTAAATCCTTTATAATACATGTACACAGTTAAATATAATTTAAATGATCGAGTTGAACTCTTTGATTCTTAACCTTTATAAAAGAGAAACGTATGGATAAAGTAAGTAAACGTCTTTAAACATATTTGTAAATTCTATGTAAATAATATTTAGGTAACAATAATATTCATACACACATCTTTATTATGTTAATTTGTAACTCAAGATAACCTAAAGCTTAATATGGCACAGTTAATACAAACGGAATTATTTGCGTTTATTATGTAACACCCAATTTCTATTAGAAAAGGGGCGTCTTTTCCAAACAAAACATGAAGTACGATAGTTTTCAATTCTTTTTCCAGTCAATGTAGCTCTTGGAAAGAAAACTGAGCAGTTTGGACGGCAAGGAACATGGCCATCTTTAAATGCAGTTGATCGAGTAAAAGAATGCCAAAATATCAACAGCACATATCTCACATTATCAGGATTCAGTGATTTACCATGGTGGAAGGTTGACCTTGGAGGATTATTTCAGATTCATCAAGTTAATGTATTTGGAAGGAACGACAGCCAATATAGTGAGTTGAAATCCGATAAAGATTATTATAATAGAAAATAAAGATTTCTCATTAAATTTCATTACTTGATTGTATGTAAAACAACATATGATAATAGAGTCTTGCAAAATATATTCAAATGTATGAAAACCGCCTAACAAAGACTTACCTTCCTATTATTTTAAATCGAATACAAGTGACGTCTTAGTACTGATTTCTTTCTTTCTTTTTTTTCTTTTTCTGTCGCTTAACTTGTGACAAAGAACATCCCGTCCTGTAGGTATTGATAAAAGCAAAAACGGACTGCACAGAAGCTCACATACTGCATATTGGACATTTTAGTTCATCTTATTTCATTTCTTTAAAGAAACATTGTGATAATTTTAATCTTACATTTGAATTATTTTTAGCGCAAATATGTATGGTGGAAAACAATCGATCGTTAAGAAGAGTAAATGTTCTAACTATTGATGTATTTTGTTTCTATAGTTGCGAATTCTGTGATAAAACTATGATTTTAATAATCAAAGTATAAGATGTGTAAAAAGGAGGTTACCCGGAGAGGCAAATTATTAAAGGGGTATAACTTTGATAAACATAATTACAAAAAAATATTCCCAAATATAACAAGTTCATTTATTTTTAGGGCACTTAATTGCAGCACACGCATAAAAAATATTATACAAATGATACGTATATCACAAAAAGCAAATGGGTCAGGAAACAAGTTCAAGCAACATTAGATTAAGCAACAATTAATACTTACATGTATATAAAATTTAAAATATGCAATTGATTTTAACAATACATTTATCCATTAAATATAATTTTGATAATAACGTGTGAACCATCCAAAGGATACCAATCTTGATGCACTTAAGCAGCGATTATTAACTAGGTTTTAGGAAATGAGGGTTTGTGTAAACCATTAACGTTTCCGTAATTCTTTTAACTGATCTGAAAATGACAACTTAATTTCCACGTAACAGTAATTGTTTATTACATAAATCGTGTATTACTGAATTACCTCACATCATGGATGATAAAACATGTAAATATAATAGATAACCACTATGTATTAAAAAATAACCACATATTGATATTCATTCTCAACTCAAAAACACTGTCTGACAAAAAATCAATAATATGTCGTCTTGGTAGGTTTTCAATTGAATTGAATTAGTAGACTTTGCAAAGTACTTTGATTAATTACAGCGTTCGTGCAATGTGAAACTAATTCAGTAAAATGTAAGCAGCAATTAAAAGCATATACAGTAGCGTAAGGAAGGAGAAAATATCGGGATTTTCTATGAAATTAGGTAAAACAGAATATCATTTCTTATAAATATGTCCAAATATTACAATTCACGTAGAAAAAAATGGATAACAATATTTTTGCAGATGGCCTACAATGCGGAAGTTCGAAACACTTATGTCGAGCACAAATTTAAAGCCTAGCATATTACTTTTATTATGCTTTTATCTTACAGTTTAGACTTTACTTTTTTTACTTTATGCATGCTGGTAAGAAGGAGTAATTTGCTAAGCAAATACAACGGTTATCTTTGAAATAATAATAGTGTTGTTTAATGGGTAAAAACGTTGAACAAAAATCTTTCTATTTCGTTTTTTTTATATGTATGAGTATTTTTATGTTATAACATATTTTACTTGTATTATCTATAAATTCTGTCCGACAGGTAGTAACTCTGATCAATTTGACTTAAGTTCAGATCTACTTATTTCTTTAATGTAGACGTGAAACCACCATTTATGCTTCGCCTTCTTTATAATTTGGAATTCCCGAGGAAACTATTTTTTAGCCATGCATTCAAACCGGTTTTAACATAGGCATTAGAAGAAGTATTGAACCAAAATAATGTTATTGCTATTGATTGTGACTTTAGTGCCTTTTTCCAATGATCTTAGTATAATGACGTCCGAACTTATTATCTATATGATTGGTATTCAAATGGTACTACAATCAATGATTTTTATTCGCTGATGAATACACAAAATGAAGAAACAATTCATAAACTATATCTGTTTATATTTCACTTATTGAAAAATACCAGCTGTTGACTTATTTTATTCTAATTTTATATGTAATGCAACTACATTCAATACTTGCATACTTAAAGGATATTTTTTCGTTTGAGTGAAATATTGAATATATTTTCACGAAAAATGATAAAATGCCACATATTTTCACGAGCCGGGACGTCGAGTGAAAATATGTGACATTTTATCATGTTAAGTGAAAATATATACCATATTTCACGAAAAACGAAAAAATAACCTTTTTATTTAATTTCATTATCAAAGAAAAATGGTTACGAACCCTATTGCTTTCAACGCAACTGCAATTGTACAGCGCGCAGTAATATATTATTTCGTCTTGTTTTGCACGCGATATTTGGCGCTACATTGTGACGTCACGTAAACACCGTTTAAACGTCTGTACAGCGTAAATAACCGAATTAAAGATATTGGTGTTCGGATTAATTTTCTTAGTACGACCATTTTCTATCATTCTAGATAGTTTTCAAAGCAAAATTCAACAAAAGTTGTTTTGTATTCATCAGATTTTTCAAACAAAATGGCGAAAGAAGTCCCTTAATATAAATATGAGGTTTGACTCCGCCCACTTTCATATTTATATTTCATATATTTTTTGAAAAAATATTAAATATATTTGACTGATATAGCACCATATTTCATGGGTAAAATTAAATAACATATTATATTTATACTGATAAGTATTTTGGGCCGGAGGCCTTTATTTACTTAAATAAAGTTGAGTTGAAATCCGTTGAAGTAAAACAAATTGTTGATTTGTGTTACAAAAAAAATGTTCGAAGTAAGTTTTAACAAAGTTTGGTTAAACAGTTTATCTGTCGGCTATATGGACAACGCCATGTTTGTTCTCGAAATCATAAAAATTACCTACTCAGTTTTGGTTTGCAAGGGTTTAAATTAGAAAACACATCGCTTTTATTTTCAAATTATGAAAGCCCGCCGATGATTGGCTGTGTGAAAGGTCACTAGAAATTATTTCGTATTTGGTCACGGTTAGATCTAAATTAGGAGCGTTATTTAGAGCTGATTTAAATTAAATTGTAACCTTGGTTTAAACAATATTTTATTTCAGCAAATATATATATATATATTTACACACAAAATATTACAATAAAATGCAAAAAGGATTGAGTAGAAAGCTAGAAGCTTTTTTAGAAACTCTCTCCTTGAAATGAAACAGTAGTTATTAATGATAACATTCATATATAAACAAAATATTGTATGCTTGTAATTCTAAGAGTTCAATAATAATCCAAGTACAAAAATTATGAAAATGAAACTAAATAAATTAAGATAAACATTAAGACATTGATATACATTAAAAGAAAATTTAGCAAATAGTTTTTTTTATTTTATGAAAAAAAAAGAAAAAAAAGGGGGGAATAATAAAATCGGTATAGAATAAGTTAGAGAGAGAGAGAGAGAGAGAGAGAGAGAGAGAGAGAGAGAGAGAGAGAGAGAGAGAGAGAGAGAGAGAGAGAGAGAGTTTAAGGTTGCTTACGGTATTGGATTGTGTGGGCCTCTTTATGAGAATCTCTTTGTCTGTTGAATATAATAGTGAACATATTCAAAGACAAGTTTGTTAATTTGTGGGTTGTCACTATCACCATATAAGACAAGAGAAAGTGTAGGGGTTGCATTTTCAAGTGCATTGATATTGTCAATTAGCTGTGTTCTTTGAGTTTCAAATAGTAAACATTTAAAAAAGTAGTGATATGTAGTTTCGATTTCACCACATGTGCAAAGGGGACTATTTATGATGTTTTTTGAGAATAGGTGCTCGTTTAATGAACTGCAGTGATTTCTAAGGCGTGTGTGGTGGATTTGTAATTTTCTATCTCCATAGTAAAAATGAACTGGAACCTTCCTTATATCCTTGTGAAGTTTGGATTTAAAATTGTTAAGAGTCGGTGCATTTCGCTCTTCAAGAGATAAAATTGTAACCTTGATATAGTTGTCAACCAAACTTCTGAGCTAACTTACGCATTCCATTTGAACTGCATGACTAGAAATTGTATTTATATAATTCTATGTTGGATACAATATATGTTTTATTATGTATGACTTAAATATTTATTCAACTGCAAAGCTTCCTCAACAAATCTAAATACACAGGCGCTTAAAGATTACGTAAATTATCTGGATAGTTTAAATGACAAGTTGATAGTTCAATTGGAATGCGGTATTCGTACGTACTACATTTACTACGATAAAAGGCTTCAAAACTCTTTTAGTAAATCTTTCAAAATGATTTAAAAATCTAATTCGGTAGGTATATATAAGAAGCATTTACAGAATTAAATAGAAAAAAAAATGATTTTGAATATTTAAGAATGGAATCTAAACTTCAAGTCAAATGAAAACTTACATTATTTTACCCGATGAGTGCATTTCAATTAAGACACCATATTTATTGGCCCTACTTTTTGTGATTTTTTTATATTTATATATTTCATAAATCATTTCACAATTAAAAACTATGAGATACAACAATAATGTATTTGTTTATTTTAGATCAATTGCTAGGCTTCAGACTTTACCTTTCACGAGACGAAAATTTCACAGACAGCAACATAGTATACACAAATACCGCACAGGATTATAACCATGGTCAAATTGTCATAACATCGAACTTATCGGGCTTATTCCGGTTTATTGAGCTAGACCTGCCTGGACCGTACGTACAAGCAGGCAGGCAGATTGTTTTATGTGAGGTTGAGATTCTCGTCAAAAGTAAGCTATACGTTACTTGATGTTCATCTTGTGTGTATGTAATTCCTTGAAGAAAATTATAAAATCGCATGGGTAACACTTTTAAGCTTATATAAAATGACACATGTCTCTCAGAGTATGAGTGTATTTTATTTTATCTTTGATTTTTATCAGTGGAGAGAACTAGAACAATACGTTTTCCTAAGTCTATATAGATGACTCGTCCCTGGGTGATATGAGATTAATATCATCTGACGTCACACAAGGCTTTATAGTAAAACATTTACGTGCGGTAAAATAAAATAAATGCAGATACATACTTTACATGTTGTTAAAAGCAAAGAAAAGGTAACGCAGTATGTTTAAATCGGCGTATGTTACATTATATTAATATAGTTTCTCATTATCTGCATTACAGGAGAATCTATTCGTAATGATAATTTTCTTTTTTTATTGAAGAAGTTGCATTACTTTACCGGTTATCATTTTATTTACAATCCCTGCATTTTAAAACATAGTACAATATATTATATGTCATACTATTAATATAATTTGTTTTGATATACAACAGTGTCAAACATTGCGACTGACAAACAAGCAACGATGTCAACACACTATAATGATATGACTGCGGATAAATGTATAGATGGAAATCCACGTCGGAATCCGGATTCTTGTCATTGCTGCAGCCATTCCAATAATGAGGCAAATCCATGGATAACTGTCGATCTTTTGCAAGTGCATGAAATATTTCAAATTCATGTTGCTGGTAGAAAAGATCGTTTTGAAAGTAAGTTTGTTCAACATTCATAGTTAATCATGTATGTTATTGTTTTACCTTTTGAGTACTTTTCTGACTCCAAACGTTTTAGCATGTTATAATCAGTTTCTATATAATATAGATATGGACTGTCGCGCAATTCTATGAAACATAAAAGCGACAGGTACTTAGTTCCCAAAGCGTTTTTGCACTGCTTCCTTCGTTTTTGTCTACTTCTTTGATTTGAAATGTGTCTGCCTGGACACGTTTGTAGTTATTAAAAGAGATCGCGAGATCAATTCTTTTGCGGAAAAGATAAGATTTTTAGGATAAACTGTCCTTTGCTGATTTACTTTTGTTATTTTCAAACACCGACATATATATGTAACCGAGAATGTGTTATATTTAAAGATTACATGTACATTATGAATAATACAGATTCTCGTTATAGAACATATGGCTTTATCACAAACATTTTTCTAGTTACATTCCTTGATTTACATAAATTTATAAATGCGGTCGAACCTTAGAAACATTGTGCTTTTTATAACTTATGTTGAGTCTTCATTTATGCATCAGGCCCCGTGTTCACTAACAAACGATCGGGATCAGGATCAAGTGATCCTGATTTTATTTTCATTGTTTTATGTTACTAAAATAAATCGTGTTTTGCTAGAATTAATTGGTAAATATTCAAAATGTAACAAAATGTTGATTTGCAAATTAACCAGTCTTTTTTAGGATAAAATCAACAAATTACAAAACGAATACATAAATACATTTTGTATTCGGATCAAAATTAGGATCAAAATTAGGATCAGGATCAATATTTGGATCAACTGTAAAATGCAAAAATAACAATAGATTTATTCTAAAATTTCACAAACTTACTATTGCAAGTCAAGTTTAATCAAATTAAAATTAGATATTTAATCTATGAGGATAAAAAATGAAGAATATTAGAGTTTTAAAAATTGATCCTGATCTTGATCCTGATCATTAAATCTTTGTGAACAGGGGCCAGGTATGTCATATAAGACAATACTATGTTTGAGGTACAGGGACTTAAAATCGCGTAACAATCATATGATTATGTCAATAAGATAAAAACATAAAACCTCTTTTTAGAATTTTTACAGTAGCCTTTGCAATGGATTCTTCAAAAGTAATGATTATTTTCGGTTATTAGCTCAACTTATTTTTTTTTTGAAAGAAAACATGAATTTAAAATATTGTTACAGTCATGTTGGTGTTGCCGTTGCCATCCACAAACTGTCAGTGGCTAAAACTTTGTTATTTTTCAATGGAATGTCTTCAAAACCTTTGAAATGGATTAATTTCATGTTAAGAAAAAACATCTTTGAGATTAAGTAAATTCAAACTGACCTTGACTTATGTATGACTTTGACCTTGGAAGTGTAATTATTTTATTTTCACTGATTTTAGCTATAATTTGATGTCATTTTGTAATTAAGCAATGCATTTTCATGCCTGGACAAACAACCTTTAAGACAAGACATTCTAAAGGTTCAATTGACCTTTACCTTGAGCTTTAAATGACCTGGACCGTCTAGGACAAAGTATGGAATTTGGTTAAGTTGTCATATTTTTGTTATTCATGAACGAATTAGAGAAAATAATACGTGTGACCAAACCGACATGTGGAATAATTTTGATGTGACCTTAACCTTCAGATGACTTTGACTGTCAAATGATATTATTTTAATTATATTTTCTTAACTATGTCATTTATTTATTGAAAGGAATCATATTTGGACAAGACAACATGTGTAACAAGGGAGAGCTATTAAATTAAAAAAAAGGAAAAACCTTTCTTATTAAATTTCTTTTTAAATATCTGTTTAAACCCTTTATTTGTTTGATTTTAGAAAAAGAAAGAATGTCGAGCGTCGCCCTCGCCCGGCGGTGGTTCTTGTTCTTCATAAATTATCCATACCTTTGACCTAAGCGTTTGCAATTAATTGCCCTAGAATAATTATTATGTTTCCTTATTGTTCTCATCTTTAACCTCAGCATTAGAGCATTTCTTTTTTTTTTGCCAGAAAGCAGAGATGTTTCTGGGTTGGAAATATTTGGAAATGGTACTAACAACCGTATCCTCGGTAATTTCACATCAGCGAATGGCACTGATGTAATAGTGACGTTACCACAAGGAATACACAGTCGGTATATAACTCTTAGACGACCAATACCACAAAACTTTAACGAATGGTATCTTGTTGTTTGTGAAGTGGAAATATATATCAAATGTAAGATCATATATAAGAAAAAAAATCTTATATGAATTAAATTAGGAAATGTGATACAGCGATCGGGAGATTTTAAACAATAGATACAAAAATGCTCTCTCTGGCCCAAAAGTTCTAAATACTGTAAATTCATTATGAATGTATAAAAAAGGGAGACAAATGCCACTGAAATGTTAAAGCAGGTGTATTTCTTATTACCTTACATAAACTATTTCTATTGAACAAAATTAAGCAAAAGTGAAATGTCAATAAAACACTTGATAGTTACAAATCATGTAATTGTTACACAAGGAACAAGTTTGGGGAGGGGCATATTCTGACAATCAACGGTGACACAATTTTGACAATAAGTAGGACAAAAAAACTTTTTTTAAAACCACATATCATAAGATATGTCTTTTAATATTTTATTTGCATTTTTATATATTATTAACTCTTCACAGACTGCAAACCAGGGACTTACGGAAAGTTATGTGAACAACAATGCGGACATTGCAGTCATGGGTCGTGTAAAATCGATTCTGGACATTGTCCAAATGGAGAGTGTATGGCAGGATGGACCGGTGTAAAATGTGAGACAGGTAAAACAATTCTTTTTCCTTATTGCTGTTTGCTATGTTGCGCAATTAAGATAAATGTTTAACCTACAAGGAAATGAAAAATTTATAGTAACGATTGGAATTGTCAAACGTTATTTATAATACAGATTTTGCATGTTGACAATAGATAGTTGCGAAAAAAAACATAAAGTAATAGCAACGACATGGTACAATTAGTAACATCATTCAATAAATTCAGGAAAAATAAACATTTTCTTTGTTTAAAGAAACAGGTTCTTGAAAATGTTTACATAGTTTAAAAGATACATCATCATCATTGAAAATATTACAATTCTATTTAATAACATGTGTTACAGAATGCGACTTGGGACACTATGGCATAAACTGCTCCTCTGTCTGTAGTTCTCATTGTTTAAACAACATAACGCAATGTAATAAAACTACTGGAATCTGCATGCAAGGATGTGAAGCCGGATATATGGGCCACAACTGTTCTATGGGTATGTTCATAAAATTATCCTTCCACACAATGCTTCATGAAACTTTAAACAGATAATAATCAATGTGATGAACATCATTTGTAGGAAGTTCATTCAAATTATATGACAATTGCAAAGTTACAATGTGAAAGCAGTTATGAAAGCAGTAAGTTTGACAAAGGTCAATATCGTGTGTAAAATACATGTGTTTAAACAATTCTACGATAACAATACAACTGGATATAAGCGATGCTGTGAAAACCCGCTTAACACTGCCACGAACATAAACAGGATCGAGAACATAATCAATGTCGGACTGCACATTTTCGTTTCGTTAAACTATTACAACCCAACCCATGCGTGCGTGTACTTATCGTGGTTTACAAGCTCGTTATCCACTTCCTGCCAAAGTACCTCAAATTCACCTGGCATTTTGAGAATAATGGGCAATATTGCACAGCAATATATGTGCCGAAACTTTGCTAAAAAGTTTGCTTTGGAGGAAAATAAAAGGCCATAAATACGACATTGACCTATGTAAACCTAGAGTCATGATTAATGTAAAAATTTACCGGATTTAGACTGTCTATCTACCAGACCATTAGCCAACATTGTTATTGTTTTCATCAGCCTTTTAACCCATATCCGTCTATCAATTAGAGAGAGAGATAGAGAGAGAGAGAGAGAGACTGTCAACAATATAGCAAAACAGTATTCATGTCAATTGACATTTTATATCCCTCGTTTACAACTTGTTGTTATGTAGTGAATTTACATATCTTGAGCAACATCAGTTTCTATTTAATTAGATTGTCTTATTTCAAAATAATTAAATCATATAAACTATATATAATCTATAACGCTTCTCCATTATTATAATTTTAACAGGGGAAAATCCTAAAAATATGAAGTTTAATAAAGAAAAAAACAACAACATTATAAAGTAATAGCTATTGGAACAAAGGGAGGTAACTGCATATATACAATTTTTTACCTTCGTGGTTCGGTTTTTGACAATCATATCACCGACATTTTTCACCATCTTGGTTCCGTTGCTTTGAGTTTTCACAATCTTAATTTCGTGTTTTCGTTTTTTAGAGATTTATACTTTTCTCGATGGCCGTAACGGAACATCGTATAAAATACCTTGGCCTACTAATTTTGGGAGAAATGACTTATATACATTTTGAATGTTTCAAAATGGTTAAACAAATAAATATACGAAATTTTAGATAAATAACACAATCCCAAATATCATTTGTTAGGCCATGAATTTTATAGTTTATCATACAATAATTAGACAACTCAATGACACGAATTTCTAAACTGGTACAATATGCCGGTGCATGTCCACAAAATATATAGGCTGCGTCTTATATACGTCTGTAGGATGCAAATCTCCTGCGCGTGATTATGCCTATGGTGTGTTAGAGATGAAAGATGTTTTAACATATTACACATTATGAACAGTATACATGTATATGAAACCGGGTCTTAATTGTCAGATAATATTGGTGTTTTCGTGGCTTTAGATAGGTCTATTCTTTGCAAGATTTTGCTATTTTGTTTTAGTAAATGTAATCATGTTAGTACGTCATTATAAATAACCTATACGTGAAGAAAAGAAAAAAAGATTATATAACGTCAGCTGTCTATCAAACATAACAGGTTTTAGAACATATAAAATATAAGCCAAACTATCCATTATTTTTGTAGAAAAAATTGTTCGAACAAATTTAGTTTGCCGGTCAGAACGTTTCGTTGATGTTTCTTTGAATCTTTTTTCAAAAGATACATACATGTGTAAGTCTAAATAGAAACACAAACACAAATTATTGTTGATTTTAAATTACATGTTTTTGTCAAATAATAGAATGTATAACTGGGAAATTTGGTCGTGATTGTGGCCGAACGTGCACCAACAACTGTCTACAAGGTTTTGATAAGTGCAGCAAAGTTTCTGGAGAATGTCAAAATGGCTGCTTGTCTGGATTTAAAGGACATAACTGTTCGACTCGTAAGTATATATGCCTATGGTACATATTCTATTTTTATTATTACATGTACATGCCTCAAGGGCTATGATTTTCGCTTCATGTAAGCATAATCATAAGTCTAATTACTGCCTGCAGGACCTTCATTAGTTATTTTGGTAAGGATTTTTTACCGAGTGTACAGATTTACTAAGGGCAGATCAATTTATATTTTACTGAAACGTTACAGAGTTTTAAACACATCTATCAATTTTCGATAATACGTATTTATTTTATGCTTTTCAGTGGATTACTGATTTATCCGTGAAAATTATATTTGATTATTAAAATATAATTTCTCACTTTTCAATGACGAAACTACTTTTTTAAGATTTTTCCCATGTGGTACCTCAATTTTATTTTTGCTAACAATTATGACAATGTCAGGCTGTTTAAAGAAAAAGCAAAGCTAAAATTGATAAATAACTTAAATTTCAAAAGTAATAAAAAGAAGAAAACTTACTTCTATTCATTCAATTACCAATCACCAAATTTCGTCTCTAAATTTTTTTGTTTCATTTTTACAGTCTGAAAAATACATTCCTTCCACATGCAAAACTGCTCTTGATGACATTTGGGCATATTTAATTTTCCTACGAGCAATAACTGCCGTATGCTTTATGAAAAATTGAAAAGCAATGGCAGCCATCAGCTCGTAGAACAAGAAAACTACCCAGCGTTCTTGAGCCAGCTTCCAAGTTTTCCATTTTCCTAGCTGCTTTTTTGAATGTTTTCACATCTTTCAACACTTATTTTGTGTCTGTTACAGTCCTCAAATATGTTTTCTTTCTTTTCAAAAGGTGTATGACTAACAAATCCAAATGATATCCCTCTGAATCAAACACAATTATTTTCCTCCCGTGAAATACACAACTACAAAAAAAAATGGCTGCCGCTTACATTTAACAAAGCAAGGTCTAATATAAATTCGCAGTAAGTAACAGAAATATGAGTGGATGACTTTTTCTCCTACAAGAATTGTTTGTTTTTATTATTAAAACAAGCGATCGTTCATATTTTTTAATAAAATAAATAATATTACTGTCATTTAACGTTGATTGTCGGACTTATTTGTCAGCTCAAGACTTTTTGTTTTTAATGAGAAATTCCGACTAAATGCGGCTCTCAATGGGGAAAACAGATTTTAATATTTACGTTAATATTATGGAAATTTCGTTTTAACGTTTTTTTTAGCATAAAATAAAAAGAAAATGTGTTTGTTTGTTGTGTAAGATGCAATTTTATTTGATGTCGTGAACTTTAAAAACAGTATTCTCAGAATACTGTTTTTAAAGGCCACTCGATGAAATAAAATTTCATCTTACACACAAACAAACAAATATCCTCTATATATTTTTTACAAACTACTGTCACATTGAAGACTATGAGTCATTCATACGCTAAAAGTCAAAACAAGTTTTTATTAAGCGTCTTGTTATAGAATGATCCATTAGCCCATTACTAGGTGATCGAGAAAGGTTCATCACGCCATTGATATGATTTTATAAATAACCACTGTGTTATGACTGTATACTGATAAACATATAAAGAAAGTTTACTTTTCATCTATCTTTTTCACATAAACGAGCTTTGTTTTTACGAAACTGCTGTTTTAAGTATTTGATGATAAGAGGAAATTGACGTTAGAAAAGTAGTTCCTTTTTGCAGGAGTGGGGGGGGGTGTTCCGTTTGCTTTTGTTATTGTCTTATTGTATTATTATTTCTATTTATTAACTTTTTTCTGTTATTTGACATTCACAGCGTGTGAGAGGGGGCGTTTTGGTGAAAATTGTACATTGTACTGTAGTATCCATTGTTTCAAAGGAATTGAACAATGTGACAAATCATCAGGTATATGCAAGGAAGGTTGTGATGCAGGCTATATGGGCAATAATTGTTCAACAGGTATTTTATGACATTATTCTTTGTTGTTGTAAAGAAAAGTGCAGAAAATAAATGATAAAAGCATTGACACGATTAATATAATAGTCGACACAATCCACACTTAATTGCTTCTTTCTTTTGTTTTTAAATTTGTTTTTCAATTCAAGGTGCACTACACAACATATAAAAGCTTGGTGAAAATAGAGTTTAAGTTCTTAATACACGAATGTGCAAGTACTATTTATCATTTATAAGCGAGAAAATATTACCAGATATTTTTTTGCCGCAATAAGTACTGTATTTAAAATGATAATACAGTTTAGGTTATACAGGTTGGTCGACTGTGACTCATTTCAGTTCACATTTACGTAAATTATACCACTATAAATCATATATATAAAACGGATTCTTTAATTTCATCACAAGAAATATTCTTTTGAAATGAGAAATTCTTTTGAATTTTATTTCTATTTTACGTATATCAAGATGAGTGAGTCAAGTACTAAAACTAATCTGAATCAAAATGTGTTATGATAAAGTGTCACACTCATTTCCAACAGTTTGTCCTGATGGTCAGTATGGTCGAAATTGTACCGATACTTGTAGTGATTACTGCAAGAACGATAAAGCTGCGTGTAACAAATCAACAGGATATTGTATGGGCGGCTGCGATCCTGGATACACCGGACCTAAATGTTCTAGTGGTATATAAATAATTTGTAAATAGTTAAGGAACAACAATATTATTAACAAATTGTAAAAAAATTTTAAGGCTGCTAATTAAACATAATGATTAAAGGTTGATCTTACTCTATAAAATGGTTTCATGTTATATCCATATCGGTTCAAGAAAAACACACAAACGCACGCGCACACGCACGCACACACACGCACACACACACACACACGCTCGCGCACACACACACGCGCGCACACACACACACACACATCAACAACAACAACAACAAATACATAACAACTCTAATATAAGCACATGATTGACTATTCCGACAGTATGTCCAAGTGGCACGTTTGGCATAAACTGTAGTCGTAAATGTCATTGTCGAGATGAAACAGATTGTCGCCAAACAGATGGACATTGCAGTACCGGATGTGCGTTTGGATGGTCAGGATTCAACTGTAGCAATGGTATGAACTTTAAACAGTAGTAATGTTAAAAAGAAATATCTATAACTCCATAACATGACAAATTGCGGTATTTTATCGATACAAATACCTGACACTCTATATTTTTGTTTCAAATCAATATAATATATAATATAAAATTATAAGATAAGAGTTTAACATTCAAAGAAGGTGTGAAAATTAATCAAAATTGGTAAGACTGTGTTTCAACATATAGCGCATAAAGTCAACAGTATTGATCTTGTTTTTGTTATAACAAATGTACATGATTATTCTTAGAGTGAGCATACATGTTCAAAATAGAAAAACAAACTTTGAGTGACTACTCTTTAATATATAAGAGTTGAATATGGCAATTTAAGAAAATGACTTGAATCACATAATATTAAATCTTGTATGCTTTCCTTCTTCCGTTAACTTTTAAAACATTACTTTTATATCACGTCGTCAATTTTCATGGCCTACATATTAACCCTGCTTTGAATAATGAACAACTCATTCACAATTATAATGAATTCATTATCGAAATATAAATAAGTTACCGGATTTTTAGAAGCTGTGTTATGCCGCGTATGGCTCTCCACGAATATAGCTCTCAGGAGAGCTTTAAGGTATGAGTAAATTATTTCGTCAATAACAAGCATCGGTTTAAAAAAAGGTGATTCGCTTCGAAGAATATAGCTCCCAATCAATTCATTATTATTTTAACATGATCAAAATTATGGTTTTAGCTCACATGAGCAGAAAGTGATCAAATTGTGCTTTTGTGATCACAATTTCGTCCGACTTCCATCGTCCTTAAATGCGTCCATCATTAAATAGTTCACATTTCAAAAATCTTCTACTTGAAACTACAAGGGGTATATCTTAGATAGTTTGCATCAAGCATTTGCTGGTAGACTCCTAAAAAAATTGTTCATACTATAGCCCCTGGGACGGATTTGCTCCGCTCTGGGGGAACATAGATTTCCCTTATAATAACAACTTAAAAAAGAAAACTCTCTAAAACTACAAGAGTTTAAGATTACATTTTACACATGAAACATTATCTAGCAAACTTCTACTCAATTTGTTCAAATAATTGCCCTTGGTTCAAAACTGGCCACACGCTAGGCGGCCATGGCTTTTGCTTATATAGTAAATCTACGTCTTGGAAACTGAAAGGGCTATGTTTAAGATATTTAGCAAGAAACATTGTTTGGTTCAAATCATAGTCTTCGAGTCAAAATTTGCCCTGCCCTGGGGGTCAGGGAACCAGTGGCTTTCCTAAGTAACCATTAATTGACTTTCAAAGAAAGCATTACTTTTCTATTGCAACGATAAATTTCCATAGCAAGCAATGACTTTCTATAGCAACCATGTACCTCTATAGCAACCCTTGATTTCCCATAACAACCAGTGACTTACATATAAATCATTTATTTTCCCAAGTAACCATATACTTCTTAAGCAAGCAGTGACTTTACTTTCCATAGCAACTGATGACTTTCCATCGCAACCATTGACTTTCCGTAGCAATCATTATTTCCATAGGCACCAGTTTTTTTTCCATAGCAACCATATACTTCAATGGAAACCAGTGACTTTCCATACCAACCATTGTTTAACAATAGCAAACTGAGACTTCCATAGCAACCTGTGACTGCCATGTCCTGTTTTTCTTTGGGATCCGCCTGGGCTCCTTGCCACTGGATCTTGTTGCTGGGTCGTATAGGGGTTGCATTCATAGAACGCCGCCTTTCCTTGTTGATCTTGTTTCCATTGTTGATCTTGTAATCATATTTCCAAAAGCATATTTCCAATGACTTTCTATAGCAACCATTGTCTGTCATAGGAAACAGTGAATTTCCGTAGCAGCCAGAGACTTCGATTGCAACAAGTGACTCCCAACAGAAACTAGTGACTAACATAGCAACTTTTGACTCAATATCGACCATAGACTTCCTAAGCAACTTTCATAAGGACCATGTGGCTTTCAAAAGCAACCAAGAGCTTTCTATAGCAACTAGTAAATTGTCATAACAACCACTGACTTTCATTGCAACCATTGACTTCCATAGCAACCACCGGCTTTCCATAGCACGCGGAACGGGCAAAATCGAAAAGTATGAGAAAGGGGAGATACTTACCGTAGACGAGAAAAACAAGAAGGGAGACATAAGTGTCACTACAACTATATGAAACAATAAAAATGACATACATCTGAGGAACACAGATGGGACGCCGCAATTGAACAGTCAGCAGCATTAGCACTGCTGGAGAGTTTTATTTTCGATTAATGGTGCGCCAAACCTCCCTCTTAGCCCCCAAAAGTTGACATGAATCCCCGACAAGCGAAATTATAACAATTATAACAAATGAACGTTGACCAGACATTTTATCTGTAATAAAGCTTGGGTCTGCCAAGTGTCATGTCGGCTGCACTTTTAAGTTTTTCAGAACGGACCATTATATTTTGCTGCAGGATACCTAGTCATTACATTTCCTTTTGATAACAGGTGGTAACATGGCATTTGGTCATAGTAACATTTGTTCACCTATTATGTTTTTTTTTGCTAAATTGTCTATGTTCTATTTGTTTACTATTCATATATTGAAAGGCTTAAAGATCGTTAAAGATCGTTCAACACGACAATATTGTTGTGCTTGTGGTATTTTAGTTCTATCTTTTCGGCATCTTTCTTTTTAAACGTATCCGAAATTGTACTCACTTTTGAAACTAAATTGGCAATTTTTTCAAAAGCAAATGTGTATCGTATGGTTTTATTTGATTTATTTTACAACTTACTAGACTGAAATTTGCTTGTAAATTCTTATTCTTCTTTTAGTTTGTATTTTAATTTAAGAAATCAGTATTAACTGTTGATAAAAATAAAAGGTTTTCAGAATATGTAAGTAAATCACATAGTGCCCTAACCTGCCGTTTGTCCATTGTACAGTGAACAATGCCAACTGTTGTGTCAATGACCATATCACGTACAACGTGCTTGGTGTTTCATATACATTTATAAACTTAGATACTTAGCAATGCCATTAATTCAATAAGTGTTTTTAAATGTACTTATTTTTTCAGACTTAAACATAATAGAACGTATTCGAGAAATGGTTAGTACCAGTCAGTCTAGTACATTTTCTCCAGATTCAAATCCACAAGATTTCAACTCTAGTAAAGCAATAGATGGGATTCCAAATTATGCAATAGATACATGTAAATGCTGTAGTGTAACAAACGGAGCAGCACCTCCTTCATGGTGGCAAATTGATCTTAAACAGAAATACCTGTTGGGTGGTTTGCAGATATTTGGACGCGGGTCAGGTAAGATGATAACATTCAAAACAACTTTAACTGTAAAAAGTTGCCCCGTACTTCACTACAGTGTTGTTATATTTTTCTGGTCCTTCGGGATCATTGATGCCAGCACTATTAAGTGATGAGAATTGAGTACCGCTCAAGCCGGTGCTAATGGGCGTGATGGATGTTATACGTATTCATTATCCCTCATGTACAGACTCAATCAAACCGAGTCTGCAATTCTTATGTAATTTTGTTGTGATTAATGCTTCCGAGGGATCACTTTGTTTCCAGATTTTTTTTAACTGTAATGCTATTCATTTAAATATTAGTGCTATGTCACGCTAAGATACACTCATAAATTACTATAACGTCAAAGCAGTGTATTATTGTGAAGTTTATTTCTTACAGAAATAGCAAATTATTTAAATAGAAGAAAACTGTTCTACATAGTATCTCTTTGTAAAAATAAAAAGTCATGTATTGGAAATACGCATACCCACATATTGTGTTTATAAATGAATCAAACATCCGAACCGTATCTCATTTCAGATCAAAACAAACAGTTAGAACATGCGATAGTTTATGCTGGCAATTACTCAACGACAGTAAACCCGTCAGAAAATATGACAAATGTTTACGAGGTTCCAGAGTTGACAAACAAACGACACTTTACCAAGGAACTAGAAGAACCATTAATTGCACAATTTATTTTAGTAGAGTTGGCACAGACAGTGATGACGTTGTGTGAATTGAAATTATATAAGAAAGGTAACAAATTTCAAAGGAATAATTTCTTTATTTGATAATAAGAGGTTAATACACGGCAGGAGAGGGCCGGAAGGTGATAATCGGCCCGCAAAATGAATAATGGACCCGAGGGCTTTAGCCCGAGGGCCATTATTCATTCAGGGCCGATTATCACCTTCCGGCCCTACGCTGACGTGTATTAATGTCTTTAATACACTTGGTAGATCTAATAGTACTGTAGCCATTTAAAAAAACAACAACAAAAAATAACAAAAACATAATCAAAACAAATAGACTTTGAAGTTCTTTCGTTCAAATTCTTGTCTACTCTTCTACTTTTCTGGACAGAGATGTTTTCTGTTTGTTATTCAAAGCAGTAGAACCAAGAAGCAAGTTTTATTTTCATTTTTTTGGGAATGAATTTGTCGTATTATTTCTTCAAATTTCAATAGTAACAAACATGTGTTTGTACTAAATACGCTTAAGGTCTCATAATAAAAATAAAGCGATTCGTGCTGACAACCTACTTTCACTTTTACAGTTAACTGTTTGATGACGTTAAATGTGACGTCATTGTTTCAGTTTGTGCACGTGCACATGTTCTGCGGGCTGATAACTAGTTCTCGGCCCCGGGCCGCAAACTCATAATAGGTCACGTGACACTCATAATCAGTTGAAATCATAGGCAATTTTGTTACTATATATAGTAACAAGTGTATTAAGGAATATTCTTAGTATGTTTCGTTAGATATGTTCCTGTGTTACCATTTACATGACTTTCATTGTTACAATTGTTATCTAATGAGCATAAGTATAAGGTATTATTTAATTTTACCCATGAAATATGGTGCTATATCAGTCAAATATATTTCATATTTTTTAAAAATAAATATGAAATATAAATATGAAAGTGGGCGGAGTCAAAACACATATTTATTTTAAGGGACTTCTTTCGCCGTTTTGTTCGAAAAATATGATAAATACAAAACAACTTTTTCTTGAATATTGTTTTGAAAACTATCTAGCATGATAGAAAATGGTCTAACTAAGAAAATTAATCCGAACACCAATATCTTTAATTCAGTAATTAACGCTGTACAGACGTTTAAAGAGTTGTTTACATGACGTCACAATGTAGCGCTAAACAGCGCGGGCTTACGCATTAATAACTCCGCGCTGTACAATTGCAGTTGGTAGCAAGCAAGGGGATTCGTTACCATTTTCTTTGATAATGAAATTAAATAAAAAGGTTATTTTTTCGTTTTTTGTGAAATATGGTATATATTTTCACTCAACATGATAAAATGCCACATATTTTCACTTGCCGTACCGGCTCGTGAAAATATGTGGCATTTTATCATGTTTCGTGAAAATATATTCCATATTTCACAAAAAAAACGAAAAAAAATATCCTCTTAATATTTTAATTGATCAAGTGTAAATTAATTGTATTCACTGATAATATACATTGAGATATACATTTTAATTGATTCTGTATACTGTAAATGTGGCATGGATGAAATTTCTGTAAGAAACTGTTATCCTATTTTCATTACAAGTTCTTGAATTTTGCGACTTTATTTTCCTTGATGCAGATGACTTTGTTATAAAATAGTTTAACTTAAACATCATTTTCGGATCATCATGTAATGAATTATATAAACAAACTTTATTTAAATCGAACCACATATACCACTGTCACCGCATATCAGTTAAGACTCAGGTTAACAGTTTTAACAGAATCGACAACTTCATTAAACCAATATTACAAGTTCAATGAAATCTTTAAACTCTTACAGAATGTGACATTGGAAATTTTGGAACTGGTTGTACACATAAATGCCATTGTAAAGATAAACGTGCATGTAACCAAGTAACAGGTAAATGTCAGACACCAGGTTGCCTAGCAGGCTGGCAAGGAGAGGCATGTGAAAATGGTAAATAGCAAATATGTAAAATGATATTGCTGATTGTACATCTTAAGAGTTGTATAAACTATATTGCCAGAAGCCCAAGAGAAAATAGATAAAACAGAAGCCGAAAACAGCATAATTGACAATGTTGGTGGCTCGGTGTGATTGAGCCTGTTCATTACCCACAACACCAGACGCCTTGTAACTTGAACTACTTTAATAAATATTTGTAGCATAATTTATCATGCTCATTTAAGACTGTTGCATTTTTCTTAATACCTGATGGAATACCCTATTTTATAGTTTTTGTAGTCACGATCATTAGACAAGTAAAACCTGCTTGATACCTACTCTATTATGTACACACAATTCATTACAAAATAACACTCTTGCATATACACATAGATTTGATAATAACAATAAAACCAAGAATCATCATTCAGAAACCTGATTTCAGTTTGTGATGTTCGAAAGTTTGGTGATCGATGCAATAACACTTGCAACTGTATAAATGGTACCTTATGCGATAATACAAATGGAACATGCTTTGTTGAGCAATGTGATCCCGGATGGCTTCTACCAAATTGCAGCGAACGTATGTATCATTTTCATGATTTATATAATGTAGATATAGAATTACACTGCCCAGCTTGATATCAATGTTACTTTTTGTAACAAATAACACTTTCATAGCTGAGTATATTAAAGCTGCACGCCTCCAGATGAGCCAAAATATTTCAAGAAAATCAATATTGAGAAAAAAAATTAAGAAAGTTAAAGATATTCAAGATCCAAGTTATATTTTACATGTTATGTGCGGTTTAAGACTGACTTTGTAGTATTTTATCACCATATTTCTATTGCGTTACTAACGCACTAAGGGCTGTGTTTGCTTATGTTGACCACTTTTTGGTAATTTTCTTGGGTTATAAGTGCCGATTGCAATATGTAAATTGCTTTATTTGTTCACCTTACAATATTTTACTTCTAAATACATTTACAAATTTTTTATGAAAACTGACATGAATATAGAGGCGCGCTGCTTTAACATTTTTTTAAATATACTTTCTGGAAATTTTCGATAGGATATAACGTTGTTTTTGTTTCTATAAATAATACATATTAGTTTTTGGGTAACAGCAGAAATATCATCACGACAAAACAGCGGTTACCCAAATCGTTACCCGAGGATAACATGATTTTAAAGATCGGGTGATATTTCTGCTATTACTCACTAACCCATGTTTTATCTATTTCATTACCCCGAATTTTCACTGGTTCATAACGATTGAGTCATTTTGTCACTGATCTCGTTCTGCGATAATAGGTAATTACAGGTTAGTTATCCAGCGTGAGTGTCTTACAACCAATTGTTGTGATTTTTTATGATTTATCTCTCTCTCTCTAAGTAATAGAAAGAGCATCGAAACACTAGGCTTTCTGATATGTACGAGGGGGGCGTGTCCCCGAGTATTAATCAGATTGCCGAGTTTTTATTTTGATGTTCCTCCTCGTTTGTATCATAGTCAAACATAAAAACACGTTCCCTGTTGTCACAATATGACACCCCCGAAAAAAGTAACCAATGAACAAGAACATCTGAATATGATATTTCTTTCTCTGATGTCACAATAAGTAAACCCCAGCAGAAATGAGCCAAGCAAAGTGCATGCTCTGGAATGCGGGTAACTAATACCTGTACTCCAGTTAACGCACTGTGCATGTATATGTATACGATTTAACTCTTGACACATGTTCAATAGAAAGGTCACAAAACTATTAGAAAAAAGTTACTTTATTAAAACATAGAAGGGTACACAGCTAATGATGATATTTTTGTCCGTGAACGTGTTGCATTTCTCCTTGTGAAATATAGCATATTTACTTTAAAGCAAAAATACCCTCTATGCGTTCTTTATGTTAATATCTTTATGATGGAGAAAAAAAAAAGCTATATAAAGAAGACCTAAAAACATTTTAAGTTAAAGTGTCAGGTGTATATAAACTTGCCCTTTTATGTGATGTGATACGGCTGAAATTTAACAATTGGCCTTCAATTGTTGTTTGGCAAAAATAATACTTTTTCCTTTTAAGAAAAAGGATGAGCAAAACTGCGCAAATTCTACCATCATTATTTTAAACATACATTTGTTCTTCAATGAGCTAAATTTTATCTTAACGAAGGTCCAGCGAGTTTTCCAGTGTATTCGTAATCTTATGACAGTCTCGTAAAAAACTTGGGCAAAATAAATGTTTTATGTTAGTGGGTGAATAGCTTACAAAAATTAACCAAAACTTATCGTAACGATAATAAGCCTCTGGTTTGTGAAAAATCACAAAAAACCTTAACATTTACTTCGGCTATAATTTGTTACGTTTACGTCGATATGTTATCAATAAATATCACATGATATTGATCAATTCAAAATGCATATTTTTCTTAAAAGGATATATAGTATTTATGGTATGTAATCTTTACCATGTGTAAAATGGCAGAATTGTTTATTCTATTTTAGATAACAAAGTATTTCCCATTTTACTGCATATATCTTATCTTTACATAACCACAGCATGCAAGCATGGTCACTTCGGTGAAGGATGTAACCAGATGTGTCATTGTAAAGACAATACAGGTTGCGATAACATTAGCGGTTATTGTGACATAGGATTGTGTGATCCGGGCTGGTTATTGCCAAAATGTAGCGAGGGTACAATTATTATTATATTGTTATGATAAGGAACTTATTTTTTTTCCTATTCTTTATTGGAATTGCATATAATCCGTGTTGTATTTATGAAGTGTTATGCATGTAGTTTAAACAATATTTATTTATAATCTATACATTTACATAAGTGAGTTTGCTAGTAGATGACGTACGGAATACACGAGGGCACCAGCACAGCTTTAAAGCAATAAGTAAATTTATTTCACTAATATTTTTTCGAATGTGATTACAATTAACTAAATTCAAAGCAATCACTTTCTATTTTTATTATTTCTAGCATGCAGTTATCGAACGTTTGGTGATAATTGTTCGTTAACGTGTCACTGTTATAATAATACAAGTTGTAGTTCTGCTGACGGTATATGTGAGGACGATAAATGTGAGCCAGGTTGGATATCGCGCAGCTGTGATAAAAGTAAGTTCTTACAAAAAACACTCAAAATTCGTTCAGAGGGTAAACCAATCATTTTGCTAGAAAACATAGATGCACTTTCTCCTATTGCTTTATATAAAGTTATCAAAAAAACTTATCTCTATGTTCTGTTCTGGTTTTGTGTGTGATAGAGAAGTTTGTTTAATAGAATAATCCTTATCATTTTCATATTAACTCTCATTCTCCATGTATGGGTTGTGTATGTGAATAAGTATTGTGCTAATAAAAGACCTATATTAATTTGGCAATAAACATCAGGAGTAACAGTTTGTCTCATATCATTTAAATTTATCGTCGAGTTAGAACACATATAAAATCCATGAATGGAATAAACATTTTTAGTAGATTGCTATAAAATACAAGTACCAGTATGCAAAATTCAGGCAGCCATAAGGCTTTCTAAGGCTGTCCTAATAAAAAAATACACGAAAATGTTCAATAGCACTTAGGATTGACATATGACATATTTGGCCTACATGTATTAATATCGATAGTTCGTTATTAGTACTCTGTTTTCGCTTGTCCCTAATGAATACATACCTTATTTTTACCGAACTATCGGGACAAAATGACCAGGCGTATAAGTAAAATAAGTACCTAATTTATTTTATTGTATGTCAAACAATTGATTGAAACATAGGTACAGTCACTGAATTAAACGACTCCCTGTCTGCCGCGACTAACAACCTTGAATTTTGCGCCCCGTAGTACATATACAGCTTAAACGACTTTTTGTACATTTCCAACAGTCAATATCACGTGAAAAAGACGTTATTCGCACACATTGAAGAAAACAACAGCGTTCGAGGCATTATTGTATCAATCAAGTCAATTAACGAGTATTGTGCATTTTTCACACCTTCCTGAGTTGCAAAATAAATAATCAACAGTTA